CTCGCTGTTGCCCAGGCTGGAGTGCAGTGGCGCAATCTCGGCTCACTGCAACCTCTGCCTCCTGGGTTCAAGTGATTCTCCTGCCTCAGCCTCTCGAGTAGCTGGAACTACAGGCACCGGCCACCATGCCCAACTACTTTTTGTATTTTTAGTAGAGATGGGGTTTCACCATGTTGTCCAGGCTGCTCTTGAAATCCTGACAAGTGATCCACCCGCCTCAGCCTCCCGTAGTGCTGTGATTACAGGTGTGAGCCACCACACCTGGCTGAGTGCCTTGTTTCTAGGCTTTGTGGGTACAAAGGACTAGCTCTTCCTCCTGGGCCCTTTTTTATTTACAGTAAATGAATGCAATGCCCTCATGAGCCCAACATGGCCTAATTCAACAAACCCATCTTTTTAAACTTGTAATTACCTTAAAATTAGAAGATGAACACTTTACATTGCTGTAATGTGTTAAAATACACAGCGTTTTGGAATCCAAGTTCTCAGATGACCATAATACCAGGCAGTATATGAGGAAGTGGTGAAGTGTTCCCATCTTCGCAGTCATGCCGCCCAGAATCAAATTTTGGTTTCCTGCCTTATCAACCCTGTGACCTTGAACTCTGAACTTCACCTCTCTTAGTTTTCTTTTTTTTTTGAAATGGAGTCTCACTCTGTCACCCAGGCTGGAGCGCAGGGGCATGATATCGGCTCACTGCAACCTCCACCTCCTGGGTTCAAGCAGTTGTCCTGCCTCAGCCTCCTGAGTAGCTGAGATTACAGGCACGCGTCACCACCCCCAGCTAATTTTTGTATTTTTATCAGAGATGGGGTTTCACCATGTTAGTCAGGCTGGTCTGGAACTCCTGACTTCCTGATCCGCCCGTCTTGCCTCCCAAAGTGCTGGGATTACAGGCATGAGCCACCGAGTCCGGCCAACCTCTCTTAGTTTTCACATCAGATAAAAGTACCTGACTCATAGGGGTGCTTATCATGGTGTCCAGTACATTTTACTACCAGTCAATTAATAATTAAATAGGCCAACCATGTGATATTATTCCTCTTTTATAGATGAGGAAATTGAGGTTCTGAGTGGTTGAACAAATTGTCCAGCCAGTAAGTGCTAGTACCTCCTGAATCCAGGTCTTCGGATACCAGAGCCAATTCTCCACTACAACGTTGCTTGTATATGTGAATGTATCAGTATTCATCCAACAATTATTTATTGAACATCTACTATACAACAGTTACTTGATGCTAGGAAATTCTAAAATATTCCTAATAGAGCTGGTCATCTTTGAGCAACCCTGAAATTACACGTATCTTGAGGCCAGTCCCAGCACTCTGTTTCATTCAGCATTGGATGGTAATGAAGTGTGAAGATTTTATTGGCACTTTTATGGGGGATGGAGATGAGGATTGTATCAGATTAGACTGTAAACTCCTTGAAGGCAAAGACAAACTTACTTATCAGTGTATAACCATTACTTAGCACAGCACTTAGCACATACTCATTGAATATTTGATGAATAAGCAACACGCCATGCAATCAAATTTAATCCATCTTCCTAAATAACTTCTCACATGCCCCCCATAATGCCTTCCCCAGTAGGTGCTCCAAAATCATAGATGAAATTTAGTTGAATTAAACTGTGAAATCTGGGCACAGTGGCTAACACCTGTAATCCCAGCACTTTGGGAGGCCAAGGCAGGCAGATCACTTGAGGTCTGGAGTTTGAGACCAGCCTGGCCAACATGGCAAAACCTGTATCTATTAAAAATACAAAAATTAGCTGGGCATGAAGCTGCACACCTGTAGTCCCAGCTACTTGGGAGGCTGAGGCAGGAAATAGCTTGAATCCAGGAGGCACAGGTTACAGTGAGCCAGGATGGCAGTCTGGGTGACAGAGAAAGACTCCATCTCAAAACAACAACAAAAAATTAAACTGTGAAGAATTCTACCTCTTGTAAACTTGATGAGATTCTCTGAGGTATTCCTGGATTCCAGTATAGGTAATTTTTATCTGGAATCAAGTACAGTGAGTTTGGGTTGCAAAAATGTGTAAGTCGGGCTTGGTGTGGTGACTCATGCCTGTAATCCCAGCATTTGGGGACGCTGAGGCAGGAGGAAGGCTTGAAGCCAGGAGTTTGTAACTAGCCTGAGCAACATAGCAAGGCCCCATCTCTAAAAATTTTTTTTAAATTAGGCGGGTGTGGTGGTGCCTACCCATGGTCCCAAGTTACTTGGGAGGCTAAGGCAAGAGGATTACTTGAGCCCAGGAAGTTGAGGCTGCAGTGAGCCATGTTTGTGCTACTGCACTCCAGCCTGGGTGACAGAGCAAGGCCCTGTTTCAAAAAATAAATTAAGTAAATAAAATAAATAAAAAATATAAGTCTGGCCAGATATGGTGGCTCATGCCTGTAATCCCAGCACTTTGGGAGGCTGAGGCAGGCAGATCACCTGAGGTCAGGAGTTCAAGACCAGCCTGGCCAACATGGCGAAACCCCATCTCTACTAAAAACACAAAAATTAGCTGGGCCTGATCGCACATGCCTGTAGTCCCAGCTACTTGAGAGGCTGAGGCTTGAACCTGAAAGGTGGAGGTTGTAGTGAGCCGAGATTGTGCCACTACACTCTAGCCTGGGCAACAGAGTAAAACTCTGTCTTAAAAAAAAAAAAAATATATATATATATATATATATATATATATGAACCTTCGCCTCCTAAGTTCAAGCAATTCTTCTGTCTCGGTCTCCCAAGTAGCTGGGATTACAGGCACACTACCATCAAACCTGGCTAATTTTTGTATTTTTAGTGGAGACGGGGTTTCACCATATTGGTCAGGCTGGTCTCGAACACCTGATCTCAGGTGATCCACCCGTCTCTGCCTCCCAAAGCGCTGGGATTATAGGCGTGAGCCCCCTCGCCCGGCCCCCTTTAAATCATGGTACAGATTTCATGGTACATTTCATCCAGAATTAGAAATTCCAGGTGTGGGCCTGGGAATGTGCATTTTAAATGTCCTCAGATAATTCTGAGACACAATCAAGCAATACAATTATTTAATTGAGATTTAAAGAGAGACATCATGGTACATTTCATTTTCTACCAAATGAAGTAACAAGACCTCCCCTAGAGACATTTACCATTGGGCACGCAAATACATTTCTTTCTTTCTGTAACAGCATGTGCTTGGCAGAACACTGAGAACTGGAGATTGAGAAAAAAAATGTGGTCTTCCTGCTCACAGAAGAGATTCTAAGACATCCTTGCTAACGCAGCATTGCCAAAGGGTTGTGTATGAATCAACCACAAAGTTAAGTGGCTGATGAAACTGAGAGTTTATGAGAATTTCTGATGAGGCAGCACATAAGAGTGTGTATCGGTTATTGTGAGTGTGGTGCAGTCTATAACTTGACTTGTTTGGGTCTTTTTATTATTACATGTTGAGCTTCACTGAAGCCTGTTGCAAGCTTTTTTTTTTTCTCTTTCCTCTGCTATCAGAATTCTTCTGCTTCATGATGGAGAATTGAGGCTTTGTGACAAGAATGCTAAATATTCCTTAAATTACAGACAGAAGAGGCTGAGAGATAGTTATGATGTTTTATTAGCATCTGATTCCAGGCACATGATCCCAATTCTCCTAATTTCCTAATCAAAGATGCATTTCTGCACTCACCACAGTCTAGTTGTATATCCTCTGAAGTACCCAGGAACCTAGCTAAGAGCAGTATCAAGGAAAGAAGGCGATTATGCAGATGGCTTGAGTAAAGCTTGTCTTTAGGCTCCCAGCACCCTCCCACTTCCTAGGTTCAGTATTCCTCTAGAGTTGCCAAACTTAGGGAGGAAATACATAGGTGCCTCTATGTTATCTCATTAAGGCCCTTAATAGCGTTATCTTAATCCTTCTGTCGTCAGAGCCTATCTGGGGGTGGGGTGGGATTTCAGATTAGTCACCAGACCTTGGAGCAGTATTTCTCTAAATCTGGTCCCAGATAATCTGCAGAAGAATAACTTGGGGAATATGAAAAATGCAGATTCCTGAGTTTCACCCTAGACTTTCAGAATTAGAAATTCCAGGGGTGGGCCTGGGAATATGCATTTTAAATGTCCTCATATAATTCTGAGACACAATCAAGCAAGGCAATTATTTAATGACCTTAGTGTCTTTCCTTTCCAACTGTATGTACTTAAAAACTCCATCCTACTTGTAGAAAAGGAGATAACGAAGGTTCAGTACCTGGCATTTACAAGGATTTCAATAAATATTTGTTTCCCAAATCCCTCCTCCCCACCCCCCACCCCTCTGAGACAGAGTCTGGCACTGTAGCCTGGGCTGAAGTGCAATGGTGCCATCTCGGCTCACTGCAACCTCCCCCTCCCAGGTTCAAGCGATTCTCTTTGCCTCAGCCTCCCAGGTAGCTGGGATTACAGGTGCCCGCCACTAGGCCCGGCTAATTTTTTTTGTATTTTTAGTAGAGACAGGATTTCACCATGTTGGCCAGGCTAGTCTCGAACTCCTGACCTCAGGTGATCCACCCGCCCCGGCATCCCAAAGTGCGGGGATTACAGGCGTAAGCCACCGTGCCCGGCCTCCCTGAATCCCTTCTTAAAGGAATTGTGGCCTTCAGGAATCAGAAGATACCCGAGGTCCCTTCCCAGTCCCCGGAAGTAAAGAGAGCCTGGGCTGTCTCTGATCACCTCCGCAAACGGAGGATCTAATACATCTACCTGACCCTGTCTGGGCCAAGCTCCTTGAAGCTGTCACAGCACTGGCTGTCAGGAGAGCCTTCTGGGCAGTGACTCCAGCAGAACCATGTCCAGGACTTCATCCGTGGGACAAAAAGAATGGAAGTAGCCACCAACATGAATGACCAGCTCATTGTATGTTGAGGTGCCGGGAGTTGGGGGTACAACACTGTCAACTCAGGATTTGAGTTTAGAAAGACTACAGGCCCCGAAATGCAATTTCACCTGCCAAAAACTACCATTCCCAACATGCAATGCAACCTGGGAGAGCCAAGGAAAAAAACCTTGCAAGCGTGGCTGCAAAGTTTGCCCCTCTTGTTACCCTCAGGCAAAAGAATGATTTCGAAAGGCCCAAGGGCTATTTTTTGCAGGAGCGGTCACTCCCTAAATCCAGGCAAGGAAAGGGAGGAGTCGGAGCCGAGTCACGCCCCTTTCCCTGTAAACTCAGGCCGCCCCTAGCTTAACACGCTGGAGTCTGAAGAGCGGACAGTAGCCGCACACCCCAAACTTTCCCCATGGGTTCGGTTACCAGAGCCGTGTTTGGAGAGCTGCCCTCGGGAGGAGGGACAGTGGAGAAGTTCCGGCTGCAGTCTGACCTCCTGAGAGTGGACATCATCTCCTGGGGCTGCACAATCACAGCCATAGAGGTCAAAGACAGGCAGGGGAGAGCCTCAGACGTGGTGCTTGGCTTCGCCGACCTGGAAGGTGGGTTGAACTCTGCCCCGGGCTGCGAGCCGGCCCCCGGCTGCAAACCTCCCGGATCGATTGGGCCACTTGCAATGCGAGGGGCTGAGGGGAAAGTCGCCGTCTAACTTGGGAGCGCGTGCATCATGCTAACAGAGGGCTGTGTGGCCATCCGACGTTGGGAAAAACCGTAATGGATGGAAAAAGCTATGGGAGTTGGCCTCTGGTTATCTGTTCAGGCTTTGCCCCAATTAATGTAAAAAGTCAGCTGATGGTAAGATACACCTCAGCGATCCTGGAGCAACCGCTGAACTGCCTGATCTTTGAACTGCCTGACTCATTGAGAAGGCTGGAGAGGAAAGAGCAGGCAGGAGGGGGTGTGGCTCCCAGTTCTTCCCTTGTGCGCCTTCTGAAGAAGGAAATTCAAAAACTTGCCTCTTCTACTTCCTTCTTCCTTGATCAGATTCTCTGTGGGGCCTGGTTATCTCAGAAATGCTCCAGTAAGCTCTGTGGTTGCCTAGTACACCAGCTACCCAATAACCATTTAGGAAACAAAACGGAGAAGACCAACTCAGTGTCTAGAGATCAGGTCTCCTACCAACTAGGATGGTCTTTTATCCCAGAAACCATAGGCAATTAGAATTAGGCATTAACTCATGCATTTGAAAACTATTAATTCAATGACCTCATCTAACAGGACAGACAAGGTCCCCACTTTTGGGGTTTGCCTGGGGAGATAGACTTTAACCCAATAATTGCATAAATAAATAATAACAATTGCAGCTTGATTGCAATAAAGGAAAATGTACATCATGCTCTCTTAGCATTATGGTGTAACTAGACAGAAAATGAGGTGTGAAATAAAGCTGGTAAAGGGAAACTGAGAATTAATACCTCTGTTCAGTGGTTGGGTGTAGACAAATTCTGTTGGAGAGGAGGTCTGAGGTTTTCCTTTTGGTGTGTCATTCTGTCTGTTTGGTTCTTTAGATACAAAACTTGGCTCATCGTTTGGGGTTCAACAAAAAACTCTTGAGTTTTGGTTTTTTCCCTTAGAAATCTGAAATTTGTTCTCTTTTTTTCTTTTTTTTGAGACAGAGTCTCACTCTGTTGCCAGGCTGGAGTGCAGTGGAGTGATCTTGGCTCACTGCAACCTCTGCCTCCCAGGTTCAAGCAATTCTCCTGCCTCAACCTCCCGAGTAGCTGGGACTACAGGCATGTACCACCACGCCCAGCTAATTTTTTGTATTTAGTGGAGATGGGTTTTCACCATGTTGGCCAGAATGGTCTTGACTCCTGACCTTGTGATCCACCTGCCTTAGTCTCCCAAAGTGCTGGGGGATTACATATGTGAGCCACTGCACCCAGCTTTTTTTTTTTCTTTTTTTTTTTTTTAAGTGCAGTGGTGCAATCTTGGGTCACTGCAACCTCTGCCTCCTGGGTTCGAGTGATTCTCCTGTCTCAGCCTCCTGACTAGTTGGGATTACAGGCACATGCCACCAGGCCCAGCTAACTTTTTTGTGTTTTTAGTAAAGACAGGGTTTCACCATGTTGGCCAGGCTGGTCTCAAACTCCTGACTTCAGGTGATCTGCCCAGCTTGGCCTCTCAAAGTGCTGGAATTACAGGCATGAGCCACTGTGCCTGGCCTGTTCTCTGCTTATTTAACAAAATTTATTATAAGTATATTCCTGAGCATCCTATTCTTGGCTTATAATTGTCTTTATCTGCTTTGGTGCCTCTACAGCTTAACTTGGAGGAAGAGGAGGCAGCCTTCTTTCCGAAGCAGAAGGTCGTTGGTTACTTATGTGAGTCTGTTGCAGGAGACTTACTGGTAGGAAGGTGCAGGCAGGTGGGGGAAATAAGCTCCACCTCCCCTTCCTTTCTACCTCCCCCAAAACTTCTAGGGAAGACATCTTCAGAGTCAGAAGGCAAGAGCAGTGGCAAGTGACAAAAGAGGATCCTTTGGAATCATTTCGCTGAGTCCTCTCTCTTCTAGTAGCATAACCATTGTCTAGGCCGACACAGAATTGCAGACATTGCTTGACTCATGCAAAACCACTCCATAGAGTCAAATGAGTATTGGATTTCTGGCCTAGAATTCCAGAGCCAGTTAAAGTAATTGGAGACGGGCCGTCCTCTCATTTCTCCATCAGCCAGGATGTTGGCGTTGAGGTTGAATAAATACCTATCGAGGACTTGAGGACAATAACTACCATGGCTTCTGGTGCCTTTTTTTTTTTTGAGACAGAGTCTTGCTCTGTCGGCCAGGCTGGAGTGCAGTGGTGCGATCTTGGCTCACTGCAACCTCCGCCTCCCGGGTTCAAGTGATTCTCCTGCCACAGCCTCCTGAGTAGCTGGGATTACAGGTGTGCACCGCCACACTTGGCTAATTTTTTTTGTATTTTTAGTTGAGATGGGGTTTCGGCATGTTGGCTAGGTTGGTGGTGGCATCTGTAATGCCAGCTACTTGGGAGGCTGAGGCAGGAGAATTGCTTGAACCCAGGAGGCGGAGATTGCAGTGAGCTGTTAGGGCACCACTGCACTCCAGCATGGGTGACAGAGTGAGACTCCGTCTCAAAAAAAAATAAAAAATAAATAAAAATACACTCTAACCTTTCTGTGTAACAGCTGACCATAAAGAAATTAAGACCCTCATTCCAAAGGGGTCCTGCCCCATACCCAGGAGGAAGGAATGCTGCATGGGGAGGCCAAGAAAAATCTGAACGCAGGCCTTGCTGAGTTTCCCCGCTCACTCTGTCAGCAACAGATCTTACCCATTTTGTCCAATCATATTTCTACATGGCTGTTTATACTCCATTGGACTTAAGCATAAAAATGGATTGTTTTCTCTGTATCTGTGGGTCTTCATTCTGAAAGCTTCTGTGTCACATCAAGCTATAATGAAATAAATTTGTTTGGCATTTTTTTAATTTTATTTTTTAGAGGTGGAGTCTCACTCAGTCACCCAGGCTGGAGCGCAGTGGTGCAATTATAGCTCACTTGCAGCCTTGAACTACCGAACTCAAGCAATCCTCCTACTTCGGCCTCCTAAAGTGCTGGGATTACAGACATGAGCCACTGTGCCCAGCTGTTTTGCTTTTCTCTTGTTAACCTGTGTTTGTCGTAAAGGTATGGGCTGTGACTCTTACAGTGGAGATATACAGCACTCTGTTAACTATTTTAATGGTGCTCTGATGCTACATTTCCGGTGCATTAAAACCCATGTTAACAAGAAACTGGTGGCAGTGGTTGTTAAGAAAGGATCCTGGGTACCCAGGGTGCGGGGGACAGGAAGGAGACTTAATTTTCACTGTATATTCTTTTAAAACATCAGAGTATGTAAGTATTTATAAACAAACAGAAGCAAAAAATGTAAAGTAACAGGACGTGACAGAGGCCAGCATGGTGGCTCATACTTACAATCCTAGCACTGTGGGAGTCCAAAGCGGGAGGATCACTTGAAGCCAGAAGTGTGAGACCAGCCTGGGCAACATAGTGAGAGCCTGTCTCTACAAAACAAACAAAATTAAATTTAAATTAAAAAAAATTTTTTTTAAAGACTTGACAGAATAAGGGGTTATCTTGATATTACCATGTCCCAAAAATGGCTTTGAGCCATGGGGAAGATCCAAGCCTGGATAATTCCATGAGACATGATCCTTTTGTAACTGCAGAGCTAGATATGAACAATCTCCAATTTCCCAGACAGGTTATATAAACTGCTTGGATGACAGCCATAACCAGAGGTCAGAATGGTTCAGATTCTCCCTGGGAAAATGAGATTTTTTTCTTCCATAGAATTCTAAAGAGGAAAATTATGTGAATTTTTAGTTACAGCCTGGAAAAAATCAGTAACGCCTCCTATGAGTTTTTCTACCGCTTTTTGTATTTAAGACTTTCTTGTTGTTTAGTGCAATGGTGCAATCTTTGCTCGCTGCAACCTCTACATCCTGAGTTCAAGCAATTCTCATGCCTCAGCCTCCCGAGTAGCTGGAATTACAGGTGGGCACCACCACACTCAGCTAATTTTTGTCTTTTTAGTAGAGATGGGGTTTCAACATGTTGACCAGGCTGGTCTCAATCTCCTGACCTCAAGTGATCTGCCTCAGCCTCAGCCTCCCAAAGTGCTGGGATTACACGTATGAGCCACCAGGCCCAGCCTAAAAATGTTTTTCATTGGCATGTCCCACCTACAGTCATTATGATTTCTTTCAAAGCCTGTGCTGAGAATATTTGCTTATATGCCACAGGTATAAACAACCTACCCATACAATCATTGAAACGCCTTCCTTTTCATGTTTCCCTCAGTTACCACCAAAGACCTGGCTATTAACTGCCATGAGAGGCATTAAGGAAAAAATAGAAAAAGTAAATTTAGTGCCTTTAGAAAACCTGGGTTCAGAAGAGAGGATGAGGGAAAAAAAAGGATCAGGTTAGAGGCTGCATCCTGGTGGGAACACTGAGGATTACTGGTTTAAAGCGCTGCTTCCTTCCTTAAAGCTGTGCGACCCTGGGTAATTTATTTAACCTCTCCATACCTATTTCCTCACACGAAACAAATGGATTGTGATGATGTAGTGAGCTGTGGGCTGTGATATGTGTCTGACCGTATCTGACCACATATTTTATATGCCTCTGACCAGAGTGAGCAATTAATCATTTTTATCCCCCTTTCTTTCCTTTGCCCCCAAATACCATCTCTCACTCTACTAGAACTTTTCATTTCACTTCATTAACACTGCAAAAAATGGCATGGAGATTCACCTAGGACAGCAAGCAGCCGCTAAAAAGTATATAAATTATCTGAAACTACTAAAGTGCTTATTAATTAAATTGTTTTCTTCATATAGCCAAAGGATAAGTCATTCTGTGGATGGAGGTTTTGATTGAGAGTGGTAATTTTATTTCAGACTTTAGTGCACTCTGGCTAAGGTTTGGGCTGTCTGAGGTGACTGTCACAGTTGGGGTCCTTCGGATGTTAGAGTGGAAAGGGCCATATCCCATGGTTTTAAGCATTAATTTATTCTCGCCAGTGCCTTGCCCTGGAAAAGTGCAAGTGTTTCCTCTACTCCCAGCTCAGCAATTGACTTGGTTAAATCAACATTCATGGCTTGACCTAGGAACTTTGAACATTTTCATGGCAAATGGGCGTTTTCTGCATTTCAAAACAAATTTTTAGCCATGCCTTATTTGGGATTTGGGAATTGTCACTTTTTGTAATTCTGATTTGATGTGAAAGCTTAGTTATGGTATTAGTCCATTTTCACACTGTTATAAAAACTGCCTGAGGCATAGTAATTTATAAAGAAAATAGGTTTAACAGACTCACAGTTTCTCATGGATGGGGAGGCCTCAGGAAACTTACAATCATGGCAGAAGGCAAGGCAGGAACAAGACAGGTCTTACTACACGGCAGTAGGAGAGAAAGAGAAAGCAGGGGAAATTGCCACATTTAAACCATCAGATCTCGTGAGAACTCACTGACTATCACGAGAACAGCATGGGGGAATCGCCCCATGATCCAGTTACCTCCACCAGGTGGGGGCACAAAGCCAAACCATATCAGTAACATTTGAAGGTAGTATAAAATTTATTTGTTCTAAATAATTTGTTTTTCAGAGACAGAATTAGTGGTTTCTGTTGTGCTTAGACTTTAATTCTTAAAAGCTATTCCTCCAGGGGCACAGTGGCTCACTCCTGTAATCACAGCACTTTGAGAGGCCGAGGTGGGAGGATCACTTGAGCTCAGGAATTCAAGACCAGCCTGGCCAACGCAGGGACACTCTGTCTCTAGAAGAAATATAAAAAGTATCCAGGTGTGGTGGCACATGCCTGTAGTTCCAGTTATTTGGGAGGCTGAGGTGGGAGGACCACCTGAGACTGAAGGCCAAGGCTGCAATGAGCCATGATGGTACCACTGCACTCCAGCCTAGGTGACAGAGAACAACCCTGTCTCAAAAAAAAAAAAAAAAAACACCTGATAATTATGGGAGAAAAACAAAACAAAACAAAACACCTATTCCTCCAAACCAAGGCACTGGTCTGGTCACTTGTAAGGGAATTCTTGCAAGCCCACGTGGTAGGAAACCTACCGGTGGCTTTGTGGCTGTCTCCAACACCCAGTATGCCTCTGGCAGAGAGCGGGAGCTCAGTGTTCATTTGTTGAATGAATCAAAGTAGGTCTCAAAAATCTCTACAGTCAAACATCTTGTTTTTTAGAAAAAACAAGAAGCGTTTCTTTACATTTTTGAGCTTCTGAAAGCAGATGAAACAAAACAAAGAAATATCGTTTGGCTCTTCGGGACTCCTTTTGGTTAACCAGTGTATGCGGTTTTAAAGCTAGTTTTGGAAAGAGAGGAGAGTGGGGAGAGGTAGAGAAGATCAGCCTGGCCTGTGCCTGGGATGGAGTTAAGGTCAACCACCAAAAAGCCTTTGCTTTCTACATAATTTGATATTGAAGAACATGGACTCACCAGCTGTACTGGCAGAGCTAAAGTCTTGGTTCTGCCACTACTTAGCTGTGTGTTTTGGGGAAGTTACTTAACTCTTGTGTCCTCAGTTTCCACATCTGTAAAATGGGATACAATAGTATCTACATCATAGAAACGTTCTGAATATGAAATGAGGGAGATGGAGAACACTTAGAAAGTGGCTGGGACACACTTTGGGAGGCTAAGGTGGGTGGATCTCCTGAGGTCAGGAGTTCAAGACCAGCCTGACCAATGTGGTGAAACCCCATCTCTATTAAAAATACAAAAAAAAAAAAAAAAAATTAGCTAGACGTGGTGGCGGGTGCCTGTAATCTCTCAGGAGGCCAAGGCGGGAGAATCACTTGAACCCAGGAGGCAGAAGTTGCCGTGAGTCAAGATTGTGCCACTGCACTCCAGGCTAGACTACACCATCTCAAAAAGAAAAAAAAAAAAAAGCACTTCGGAAAGTGCTTTCTAAGCACTCAGTAGGTGTTAGCTATTATGATAGTCCATGGAGGCCGGGTGCGGTGGCTCAAGCCTGTAATCCCAGCAATTTGGGAGGCCAAGGCGGGTGGATCACGAGGTCAAGAGATCGAGACCATCCTGGTCAACATGGTGAAACCCTGTCTCTAATAAAAATACAAAAAAATTAGCTGGGCATGGTGGCGCGTGCCTGTAATCCCAGCTACTGAGGAGGCTGAGGCAGGAGAATTGCCTGAACCCAGGAGGCGGAGGTTGCGATGAGCCGAAACCGCACCATTGCACTCCAGCCTGGGTAACAAGAGTGAAACTCTGTCTCAGAAAAAAAAAAAAAAAAAGATAGTCCATGGGCAGGACTCTGACGCACCTGCAGATTAGCAAAGAAGCAAACCAGGAAAGGCATGGAAGGGAAGGATTAATGTTTAATTTGTATCCAACCAGTTGGGTAATGGAAACCTGTGACCTGTTGCTAGCCTAGTCAGCTCAGGGTCTGTATCCTGAGGGCCACTCTGTCCTGTGGAAAAATAGTTCAAATGCTTGAATTGCATTCTCTGCTGATCTGAAGTAGACATGACAGATACGGAGTACCATGGGAAAAGAGAATGGAATTCAGAGGGCGTCTAAGTGGAAAATAGAGTAGAAAGTAATCTTAGTGATGATACAGAAAACAGTCTCCAAACCTTAATCTTTTCCATTGCAAACTAAGCACAGAGGAATTTAAAGACAAGGAAAATACCATAATATGCCCACGCACAAAGTTGTAAGTATGAGGAAGCTATGTTGCTTTTTTATAGCCCCTCCCCTAAAAAGACCCAAAACAGTTTATGCTGATTATTATACCACACAGCCATCACAAGGAATATGGGGCCAGACATGGTGGCTCATGCCAGTCAGTAATCCCAACACTATGGGAGGCCAAGGTGGGAGGACCACTTGAACCCAGGAGTTCAAAACCAGACTAGGCAACACAGGGAAACTCTGTCTTTACAAAATAAAAAGTAAAAAAAAGTTAGCCAGGCATAGTGGTATATACCTGTTGTCCCAGCTACTCCAGAGGCTGAGGTGGGAGGATCATTTGCGCCTGGGAGGTCAAGGCTACAATGAGCTATGATGGCGCCACAGCACTCCAGCCTGGGCGACAGTGAGATCCCATCTAAAAGAATAAAAAGGAATATGGTAGCTGGGCGCAGTGGCTCACGCCTGTAATCCCAGCACTTTGGGAAGCCGAGGTGGGCGGATCACGAGGTCAAGAGATCGAGACCATCCTGGCCAACATGGGGAAACCCCGTCTCTACTAAAAATACAAAAATTAGCTGGGCGTGGTGGCACACACCTGTGGTCCCAGCTACTCAGGAGGCTGAGACAGAAGAATTGCTTGAACCCAGGAGACGGAGGTTGCAGTGAGCCAAGATTGCAACACTACACTCCAGCCTGGCGACAGAGCGAGGCTCCGTCTCAAAAAAAAAAAAAAAAGGAATATGGTAGATATGTCATGACATGGAGAGATCTTAAGATATTTGATAAATGGAAAGTTACAGAACAATGTATGATTATAGTGTGATGCTCTATGTAGTATGATTCTCTTTATATAGAATATGTGTGCTTGTGTATTTGTATATTTGCTTATATGTAGTTAATTCAAATTTAAGAATGAAGTGTACGTACCAGACTGTGAATAGTGGGAATAGTGGTTACCATTGGAAAGGAGGGGAGTGGAGAGGTGAAGGAAGGCTTTTGTGTTTTACTTTTTGTTTAGGTTGCTAGATTTCACAAATAAAAGTACAGGATGCCTGGTTAAATGTGAATTTCAGATAAACAATTTATACTTTTAAAGTATAATAAGTATGTCCCATGTATAATAATAACATGAACATACTTATACTAAGCAATTATTTATTGTTTATCTGAAACTCACATTTAACCAAGCATTCTGTACTTACTCTGGTGAGCTTACTCTATGTCCTTGTGTATTACCTAACTCTCTCTAAAGGATATTTTAATGTGCTAATTATGTTTTAAAAAAAAATAAGAAGAGAAAGAAGAATAAGATAGTTTTCCTTCAAGACCACACAAAATTATAATTCTGGCCTAGAGAAAAGGACATTACAAAACTGTTATACACTAGGCCCCCTTCATCCATAGTTTTGCTTCCTGCAGTTTCAGTTACCCAGAATCAATGTTGGACTGAAAATAGGTGCATACAGCACAATAAGATGTTTTGAAAGAGAGAGAGAAGGCTGGGCACGGTGGCTCATGCCTGTAACCCCAGCACTTTGGGAGGCCAAGGAGGGCAGATCACCTGAGATCAGGAGTTCGGGACCAGCCTGGCCAACATGGTGAAACCCCATTTCTACTAAAAATACAAAAATTAGCTGAGCATGGTGGCATGAGTCTGTAATCCCAGCTACTTGGGAGGCTGAGGCAGGAGAATCGCTTGAACCTGGGAGGTGGAGGTTGCAGTGAGCCGAGATTGTGCTATTGCACTCCAGCCTGGGCAACAAAGCAAGACTCCATCTCAAAAAAAAAGAATATTAACAGTGGTTCTCTGTAGTGGTGAGATGAAGATGAAGGATAATTTCAGTTTTTTCTTTGTGCTGTGTAAAATTCTTTACAATTCTGTGTAATGAACATTAATTACTTTTGGAAAAGGAAAGGGTCATATGTAGTGAGAACCATTTTCTGTGATTTGGTGAGGACTCTGACATGCCCAAGATGTACCATGTGTAGCATCCCTCAGAAGATGGTGGGGGCAGTGGCATGTGACACACCTTTGGATTGAAGTTTTAGAAGTGTTGTCATCCCTTGTCCTTGCAGGATACCTCCAAAAGCAGCCATACTTTGGAGCAGTTGTTGGGAGGGTGGCCAACCGAATCGCCAAAGGAACCTTCAAGGTGGATGGGAAGGAGTATCACCTGGCCCTTAACAAGGAACCCAACAGCCTGCATGGAGGAGTCAGAGGGTTTGATAAGGTGAGTCCGGTGCATGTGACCGCGTTTCCTTCACGCTTACTTGACGCATGCCTTCTGCTTTCCAGGCACAGTCCTAGGCCCTAGAGCACATGCGTGGTCAGGAGATGCAGGAAAGAGGCTGCTCCTGTGGTTTAGGGCAGCAGGTGCAATGGCCACGTGCCAGGACCCATTCTTCTCTAGCTCTTCTTTTGTAACAAATAGGGGAGCCCCAAGAGAAAGGATGTCTGCCCTTCACTTAGAAAAACAAGAAACAACTTTTTCATAGTGTTGAGATCACAGAGTTGAGTTGAAGAGATGTGGATTGATAACAGCATCTTCCAGTTATTGCACAAGACATTGACATATATTATCTCATACCCTTACTAAATGGAAAAACCGACGCACTAAAGTCCATGTGGCCAGGCACGGTGGCTCACACCTGTAATCCCAGCACTTTAGGAGGCTGAGGCAGGCAGATCATCTGAGGTAAGAAGTTTAAGACCAGCCTGGTGACATGGTGAAACCCTGTCTCTACAAAAAATACAAAGCTTAGCTGGGCATGGTGGTCGGCACCTCTAATCCCACTACTTGGGAGGCTGAAGCAGGAAAATTACTTGAACCTGGGAGGTGGAGGTTGCAGTGAGCTGAGATTGCGCTATTGCACTCCAGCCTGGGCAACAGAGCCAGACTCCATCTCAAAAAAATAAAAAACAAATAAAAGGCCACATGACTCCTAAGTGGGACAACCAGGGCTGCCTGGCATGAAACCTTCATTCCTACACCACAGCTGCTGGTGTCCACCCAGGCCACATGGTTCCCCCGTGCAACACACTTCCCTGAAACTGTCGTTGAGCCCCCCTCCCCAAGCATTATGGCCCTGCACTGAGGCCTGCCCTCCCACTGAAGTGCCTTGGGCCTCAAAATCATCTCAGATTCTCCCCACTTCCTCCTCTCCACAGGAAAACTTCCATTCTCCAAGTGAATCCCTGGAAAACAAGGTCGGGAAAGCAAATTGATCAAACAGCTTCTCCCTGAGGTAGGAGTGCCTGGCATCCTGCTTCCTAGCCCCATGGGAGTCTACGGGTTAATCCCAGTGATTGCTGTCTTACTAGTCTAATTTCAGGCTGTGAAGGAATAAATTTCAGTAGTTAACTTTCTTTTAAATTGTACCACCTAGGGCCAGACACAGTGCACTTTGATCCCAGCACTTTGAGAGGCTGAGGTGGGTGGATCACAAGGTCAGGAGTTCGAGGCCAGCCTGGCCAATATGGTGAAACCCCATCTCTACTTAAAATACAAAAATTAGCCGGGCATGGTGGCAGGTGCCTGTAGTCCCAGCTACTTGGGAGGTTGAGGCAGGAGAATCACTTGAACCCAAGAGGAGATTGCAGTGTGCCAAGATTGTACCACTACACTCCACCATAGGCGACAGAGCAAGACTCCATCTCAAAAAAAATTATACCACCCAGTGGTATAATTGCTAGAGAAGAGCCAGAGAAGACGGGAACATGTATGACCACTAATGGGCACCATTTCTTCTCTTCTGCTTCTGACCACCACCTGTCCTGTGGAAGGAGGCTGGTGGCTCTGGCGTCCCCTCTCCCATGAGCTTCCTGCTAGTGGCCTGGAACCAGACCGACTGCCCCATGAGTTTCCCTTTCCTCGGTGATGGGAATCTAAATGCCAGGGAGGCAAAGGGCAGAGCGCCTATAGAACATGCCAGGATCATGGGCAAATCCCAACCAGAGGAAGTAAGGCTCAGCCGGGCATCAGACAGGCTCTTCATCAAGCAGAGCAGCTTGTTCCAGCTTGCTCCTGCTCACCCTGTTCACTGTGGCATTTTCCACGGTGTTGCTTAACTTATGAACACAGCAAAATTGTGTGTACATAGCCTTCAGTGCAGTGTGCCCTTCAGCCTCTTGTGTGAAGTTGAGGGCATCGTAGGCCGGGGACTCCTGAGGCTTACAGTACAATGAGGGAGGGGGACTCTCAATGATAACTGTTACAGATAAGTGGCCACAAGTGCCCCTGTACCAGATGCCAACAAGGCGCTGCAGGGACTGGGTGTGAACAAATGAATAGCACCCTAGGAGGTGGGATTGGGCCTGCCCTTGAAGAGCCAATAGCATTTCATTCAATACATGGATATGGGAGAGAATGGCTGCACAGTGGCCTGAGGGGGTGGGGAAAGACTTTGAACATTTTTGTGAAGCCACTGAGTTTTTGAACAGTCGGTTTTGACATAGTGCCATGTGCCCATCAGATGAACTTCGTTTTACTTTGTGTTACGTCTCAACAATGACTGAACAATTGCTGGTTTGGAGGTATGTGTTTTTCTATTTATACCAACACATTTTTTTTTAAGATGAAAGATGAATAAGCTGACAGGATTTGAAATGGTATAAGAAAGGCATAGATCCGTGGCCGGGTGTGGTGGCTCATGCCTGGAATCCCAACACTTTGGGAGGCCAAGGAGGGTGGATCACCTGAGATCAGGAGTTTGAGACCAGCCTGACCAATATGGTGAAACCCTGTCTCTACTAAAGATAGAAAAATTAGCCAGGTATGGTGGTGGGCACCTGTAGTCCCAGCTACTTAGAACGCTGAGACAGGAGAATTCCATGAACCCTGAAGGCGGAAGTTGCAGCGGGCTGAGATCACGCTACTGCACTCCAGCCTCGGCGACAGAGCAGACTCTATCTCAAAAAAAAAAAAAAGGGGGAGTGTAGACCTGCAAATCTGGAAACTACAGGCTCGGGGAAATCTTTCCATGAATAGGAATTATACTTAACCAATCATATTGGTTTACACAACAATCTTTCCATCGTGTCCTTTCTCTACAAAAGAAAAACTAGGTAGCAAGATTTCATTTCAAACATTTAATTCCTGAAATGTTCCATTTGGGATATTCGATTTCTTCTTTAATTACACATGTAACAGGCATCATGTTTTGAGTGTCTTGAAAGTTCAGCCTTTCTGGGAGATAACTAGGGTGTAAAATTAGTTTTTCACTAAGCTCAGTGAAAGTATTTCACATACCAGCTGCTTTCACTGTAGGTGAAGGCAGAGACCTCCGTTCCTGCTGGGCTCCCCTTCCTGGCAAATGCCACGCCTGTGAGGCAGAGCCTGGGCTCATAGGCCTCTACCATGACCCACAGAGGCTATTATCTTTCAAGTCTATGAGTTTGGCCTCAACTCTTCAGTTGAAAAGGAAGATTCAAACAAAAACTTTGCCAAGACTAAGATGTAGAATAGTGGAGATAGCCAGACCTGAGTTTGAACCCCAGCTCTGTCACAAATCACGTGGATAACTTTATTTATTTATTTATTTATTGAGACAGAGTCTTGCTCTGTTCCCCATGCTGGAGTGCCGTGGTGTGATCTCGGCTCACTACACGCTCCCCTTCTCGGGTTCAAGTGATTCTCCTGTCTCAACCTCCTGAGTAGCTGGGATTAAGTGCATAAGCCACCACGCTTGGATCATTTTTGGGTTTACCATGTTGGCCAAGCTGGTCTCGAACTCCTAACCTCAAGTGATCCACCCGTGTTGGCCTCCTAAAGTGCTGGGATTATAGGTGTGAGCCACCATGCCTGGCCACATGTGTGACTTTAAACAAAATTCTTTTTCTTTTTAAACAATGGACAGAAAATTCGAAACTCCCCCACTGCCCAGACACACACTGGGATGTGGAAGGTAGAGGATAACTTAACTCCACTGAACTCAAATTGCTCATCTGTAAAATGGGGGTAAATAATATTTGTTGAAGCTGTATGAAATAACCAGTGTTCAACTGTTTTGATCTACGATGATGGTTATTTCATTTGGTTCAACCAAATCTTTACCTTACAAGATGATTTATGTAAAGCACCAGGTCATTGACTATTGAGCACTCAACAAACTGGAGGTCTCACGCCTGCAACAGCCCCCTTCATTAATCATCCCAGAGCTCTCTAAAAGGACTGGGAATCTCTGGCCAACTCATCCCCTGATAGTATAGAATAAGGGAACAGGCTCAAGATCCAATCCAACGCCACGCACTAACTGTGTGGCTTGGGGCAAGTGGTTTAGCTCACTGAGCCTCCATTCTCTCATTATTCAATGAGGATGTTGGTATCTACTTTAAGTCTGCTTTAAGACAGATGAGATAGCGTCTGTGAAGTTTCTAGCAGAGCATCCTGACTCATAACGGGCACTTGATAAATGTTGGTTTTCTCTTCCGTATAAGTGTAATCAATCTTAGGGCCTCTAGGACAAAGTTGAGAACAGCCACTATGTTAATCCAAGATTCCAATTCCTATTTCCAAAAGCAAAAAGCTTTTTATTTACTTATTTATTTAGAGACAATGTCTTACTCTGTTACCCAGATGGTGCAGTGGTATGCGCAATCTCAGCTCACTGCAGCCTCAACCTGCCGGGCTCAAGCAATCCTCCCTTCTCAGCCTCCCAAGTAGCTGGGACTACAGGTGTGCACCACCACATCTAGCTAATTTTTAAAACATTTTTTTTTTTGAGATGGAGTCTCATTCTGTTGGCCAGGCTGGAGTGCAGTAGCGTGATCTCGGCTCACTGTAACCTCCACCTCCCGGGTTCAAGTGATTCTCTGCCTCAGCCTCCCTAGTAGCTGGGTTTACAGGCACCAGCCACCACACCAGGCTAATTTTTGTATTTTTAGTAGTGATGGGGTTTCATCATGTTGGCCAGACTGGTCTTTAACTCCCGACCTTATAATCCACCCACCTCGGCCTCCCAAAGTGCTGGGATTATAGGCATGAGCCACTGTGCCTGGCCTTTTTAAACTTTTTTACAGAGATGAAGTCTCACTATGTTGCCCAGGCTGGTCTTGAACTCCTGAACTCAAGTAATCGTCCTGCTTCAGCCTCCCAAAGTGTTGGGATTATAGGCATGAGCTGTTGCACCTGGCCCCAAAAACCTTTAAAAATAAGCTCTTCTTCATACTTTGTTTTTTTTTGCCAGTGTTAGAATCATATTTTCTAGAACAAGAAGAAACTCTGAGATAATTTCTTCAACCTCGTTGTTTGATGAAAGAGATTAATGACTAGAGTCACACAATTAGCGAGGGATAAATGAGGCCCCCTGAATCAGGACTCCTGACTTGTGGGCTACAACTCTTCTTAATGGCACAGATGTCTTATTTGTTTTGAACTCTGCTTAGGGAACACAGAGAAACTTGCAGGGCTTTTAATAAATCTTTGTATATAGTACCCCCAGGAGACAGGGGCTGATTTATTAAAGTTTTTAATACTATTAGCAGATATTGCTATATGGCATTTAGCAGAGTGGGCTCCAAGATTAAAAAAAAAAAAAAAATCAAAGAAAAATCATCTGCTAAGGACTCTACTTCTAATAGTACAGAAAAAAAAAATCAAAGAAAAATCATCAAAGAAGAGGAGAGGAAAATATTGTAGACACACGTATATGTATACAGTTAGAGAAAAGAGAATGGGGAGTGTGAGTAGGTAGAGAAAACCAAAAATTTGGAATAATTAAAATCCAGGGACTGGGTGCGGTCGCTCACGCCTGTAACCCCAACACCTTCGGAGGCCAATGCGGGCAGATCACTTGAGGTCAGGAGTTTGAGACCAGCCTGGCCATCATAGTAAAACCCCTTATCTACGAAAAATGCAAAATTAGCTGGGTACAGTGGCTCATGCCTATAATCACAGCTACTCAGGAGGCTGAGGCTCAAGAATCACTAGAGCCTGGGAGGTGGATGTTGCAGTGAGCCGAGATTACGCCACTGCACTCCAGCCTAGACAACAGAGTAAGACCCTGTCTCAAAAAAAAAAAAAAAAAAAAAATCCAAGCTATCATTCAGAAGTCTTAATTGATTGTATAACCATTTTCCTTGTGAATCAATTGCCTTTAAGTATTGAGATGTGGCATTTAGCCTGAGGTTGGAGCAATTACACAACCTTGAAAACACTTTTTTCCAGGTGCTCTGGACCCCTCGGGTGCTGTCCAATGGCGTCCAGTTCTCGCGCGTCAGTCCAGACGGTGAGGAAGGCTACCCCGGAGAGTTAAAAGTCTGGGTGACATACACCCTGGATGGCGGGGAGCTCATGGTTAACTATAGAGCACAGGCTAGTCAGGCCACACCAGTCAATCTGACCAACCATTCTTACTTCAACCTGGCAGGCCAGGTAAGTGAACTTGTTTCCTCTTTCCTGCTTCGTACTTTGTGGAATGTCCTGGGCTGTGGCTGGAGAGACCAGAGCAGTGTGGAATCACTCTGACAATGAGATCACCCACATGATGATGAAACCCCAGCAGAGGGCTTATAGTAGGTGCTCAATAAATGAAAATTATAGAGAAAGACAGAATGAGTACGTTGTACTGCTGAGAGAAGTATCTGTTTCCCGTTTGCTTCAGACAAGTAACTAGCTCTTTCAAGAACTCCCTCTCAGAATCTAACTGTAACATGTACTTACATTTGCCTCCCTTATTCCACTTCTACTCCGCCAAAATTTCTTCCAATTAAGGTGCTTTCCATGCTTGGAGCTTTGGAAATGGGCATGGCCCAGCTCCTTTAGATATGCTGCCAATATGTGTGTGCTTCCCCTGTTAGCCTGCCAGCTCCTCCCAGGGGTTTGGGTGGGCCAGTCCTGCCCTGCACAGTACTGTGTCAAGAGCACTGGACTTGGATTTAGAAGATCCTTTTTTTTTTTTTTTTTTTTTTTAGCTTAATAGGCATATTCTCAATTTCATGATAATAACACTACCTACTATTTGTCAGCTGCTGTTATAAGCCCTTTATGAGGTTGTTGGTTAAGACACTAAAATCTGGCCAGGCGCAGTGGCTCATGTCTGTACTCCCAGCACTTTGGGAGGCCGAGGTGGGCAGATTACCTGAGGTCAGGAGTTTGAGACCAGCCTGGCCAACACAGCAAAACCCCGTCTCTATTAAAAATACAAAAATTAGCTGGGTATGGTGGTGGGCACCTGTAATCCCAGTTACTTGGGAGGCTGAGACAGGAGAATCACTTGAACCTGGGAGGTGGAGGTTGCAGTGAGCTGAGATCCTGCCATTGCACTCCAGCCTGGGCAACAAGAATGAAACTCCATCTCAAAAAAAAGGACAGGCCGGGCGTGGTGGCTCACGCCTGTAATCCAAGCACTTTGGAGGCCAAGGCGGGTGAATCACCTGAGGTCGGGTGTTCAAGACCAGCCTGACCAATATGGTGAAACCCTGTCTTTAAAAAAAAAAAAAAAAAAAAAGACACTGAAATCACCCAAGCAGAGGGATAAACCTCAGTGGGGGACCACTTGAAATGCCCACCTAAGAGTGGTATAGAGCTGCTGACAACCCCCCTTAAGAGATCCCCTCAGAACTACCTCATTTCATCCTACAATGGTAACAATTTAGCTCATTGAGGAGACTATCATATCAGACAAGCTAAAAAGCTTAACTGAACTCTGTAGATTATATCTATTACTTCCTTTTTATCTGAAGAACTCATCATTGTCCACTATACTTGACTCACTTTGGCATGATTTTCTACCGCAAGATGATGTTCACAGTCAGCCAGTAATATCTCACATTTTTATACTGTTTCAGGAGTTTGCTGATGATCTGCTGGGTTCTGTTTTCTAGTATTTTCTCAAATTGCAGAGTTAATTGGTTCTTGTAAAATTTTCAAAGTTCTCCCTTTAAAAAAGCTGACCCTTCACTTGCATGTTCCTTATCTTCAGGAGCTTTCATCATCCTTCTTGAAATCTTAAAAACAAGGCCGGGTGCTGTGGCTCACACCTGTAATCCCAGCACTTTGGGAGGCTGAGGCAAGTGGATCACCTGAGGTTAGAAGTTTGAAACCAGCCTGACCAATATGGTGAAACCTCATCTCTACTAAAAACACAAAATTAGCTGGACATGGTGGTGTGGGCCTGTGATCCCAGCTATTTATGAGTCTGAGGCAGGAAAATCACTTGAACCTGGAAGGCAGAGGTTGTAGTGAGCCAAGATCCCGCCATTGCACTCCAGTCTGGGCAACAAGAGCAAAATTCCGTCTCAAAAAAAAAAGAAAGAAAGAAAGAAAGAAAGAAATCTTAAAAACAAAACAAAAGCCAAAAACACTCAGGCCTAAGAGGCTCTACTTTAAAAAATAAGTTCAGAAAGAAATGACAGAAATAGAACAAAGTATTGTTTTATGTAGGTGATAAACTATGGTGATTATTCTGTTTTCTATATTTTTCCTGCTTAGGACATCCTGTTTAATAATGGGGAATGGGAGGCCTGGCATGGTGGCTCATGCCTATAATCCCAGCACTTTGGGAGGCTGAGGCAGGCGGATCACAAGGTCAAGAGATCGAGACTATCCTGGCCAACATGGTGAAACCCGATCTCTACTAAAAATACAAAAAAAAAAAAGAAAAATTAGCTGGGCATGGTGGCTAACGCCTGTAGTCCCAGCTACTCGGGAGGCTGAGGCAGGAGAATTGTTTGAACCTGGGAGGCGGAGGTTGCAGTGAGCCGATGTTGCACCGTTGCACTCCAGCCTGGTGCCTGATGACAGAGTGAGATTCTGTCTCAAAAAAAAAAAAAGTTAAAAAAAAAAAAACAATGAGGAAGGGAGATCTAAAGGAATAAATTCAGAAATAGAAAGAAATTATGCGTGCAATATTCCGTCTGCTGATGTGTTCCAGTGAAGGAGACAATATGGGAATGTTAGGTTTACAGGCTTTTCACCACTCTTCCAATCTGGCAGGGCTTGGAGTGACAGGTGTTTTTGAATCTCTTTTCAGAGGCTGAATAGTTTCCTAGATCATAGACCCCACTCAAAAGGGTGGTCAGTATAAACTTCCTTCCATATACCGCAGGTTGAGTATCCTTATCCAAAATGCTTGGGGCCAGAAATGTTTTGGATTTTGGAGATTTTCGGATTTTGGAATATTTGCATTATATATACTTGTCCTTTGAGCATTTCTAATCCAAAAACTCAAAATCCAAAATGTTCCAATGACTACTTCTGGGCATGATGTTGGCATTCAAAAAAGCTCAGATTTTGGAGCATTTCAGATTTCAGATTTTCAGATTAGGGATGCTCAACCTGTATCTTAGTAAGTGTAGCTTGAATCCAAAGCTACCAGCTTCAGATTTGAAGGCGGGTGGGGGCACCAGCTTTCTGAGGCACTCTGATAGCAGTGGATGATCACCAAGCTGGGCCTGGAGTCAAGGGCCTCTGCATCTTCAGAATATCTCTTACCGTACCTTGAGAAGCATTATCATATATCTCAAACCCTCCCCAGGGACATAGCTCAAAACCTGATACTTAATCAGCTCATCTTATACATTTTTTTTTTTTTTTTTT